GGCCTTAAACACAAAGTAAGATGCATGTTTTGTTTCAGTGAAAAGTTGTTAATTTAATCAGCCAGTCTTTACAAAAGATGCAAGACATTAGTTTGACAAATTGTGTCTGAGATCCACAGAAGAACTATGTTTTCCTGAAATCAAGTGCTGCAGAGCCTGACTTGTGGGTGCCCAGCCTAATGGATTACAGACCCTGCCTGGGCAGACAGACCTTTGTGAATGGTGTGTGAGGATCTAAAATGGCCAACACACTAAGCAGGCATCTGCTTAAAGCCAACATGCTGATGTGCAGATTACAGTAAGGGAACACCAAAGGAAAGTCTGAATTCTTTGAGCTGCAATTATATGAATGCCTCCATGACACAGGCCAAACAATTTGTCCTGAAGAACTGAGTAAGGCTTACTGCTTTGCTTCAAAGCACTGTTTTCCTTTCCAGTGCTTGGTAACATGCTTCATGTTAGATGTCACCCATTGGATCTCAAAAAGATTGGAGGGACATCTCACTTTCTCACATGAATGCAGAGAGCAATAGATTCCAGAGCTGCATTCACTCTTTTACTTCTTGTCTGGATGATTGAATCTTGGGGTTTTCCCCCTATCTTGTAGACTAAGCTTCAGAGGAAGAAAACAGAAACCTGTACTTTTACAAAGATAAAACTGTAGCATGGTGGGTAGGAGTTTTGCTGAGGATTATTAAGTCTGACTCAGACCATTCCTTGACTTCCTGGGCAACAGTTGTTTCATATAAAAGAAAGATCTCTTCCCTCAAATTTAAAAAAAGAAAATAGCATCAACAACTGGAGTTTCAAGAGAACCTGATAATATTGGCATCTTTGGTCACTCTCTGCCATTACTGAGCAGCTTGAGCATCTTCAGGTGTCTGAAGTGGAGGAATGTTGCATTCCTGGGTCTGGAAAAGTCTTGATCATTAGGAAGGTATTGAACTGCTGAGCCTGTGAAAATGGAGGAGTTCTAACACGTGCACAAGACGTGTACTTTTAGGAACAGAGGGAGCCCAAAACCGTTGGAGCACAGAATTTAGTCATCTCCAGAGCTAAGCAGCAACTGAGGAGTTTTAGCATCGGTAATTTGGACAGATTCCAGGTGTGTCTAAATATATTCTAGTTGTCATAAAAATTTACTGTCTTAGAACATATATACTTGGAGAGCGTACAAAGTTTATGCAAGATATAATATGATGATAAATTATCTTATTGTCATTCAAAGGGATTGAAAATAATTTAATAACTATTTTGAGCATTAGTGAAACATTTTTACAAAGTTGCACATAAGCAGTAAAGGAGGCTTTCCCCCTGTTTGTATTTTAAGGAAAGCAATAGAAATTGGGTTTTACTTTTGAATGATTAGTAGTCCTGCAAAATAATTCAAACCCAAAGCTTCACTCGTTCTGATCATGTACTTTTCAAAAAAAAAAAAAAAGAAAAGGCTGCACTTTATGGAAAGAAAGTTGGCAATTCTGATCATGTACTTTTCAAAAAAAGAAAAAATGAAAATGCTGCACTTTATGGAAAGAAAGTTGGCAATTCAGTTTCAGTTGTCCAATGGACTGGAAGAGGCCTTGTGTAAAATAGTCTAAGTACATTTTAAATACTATTTATGTTAGGATTTAATATTTTCCATCTTTGTAATGAAAGAAAACTTTCTTGAGAAAATACTCATTTTAAAACATAAATGCAAATTTTCTTTCTCCTCAGTTTGTGGTTTGTTATCCCAAGCATATGTGGTTTTCTCATCCTGGGATATTACTAGCTATGCTCTCTCTTTAAATACTTCTGACCTTGAATAAAGACAAAACAGATTAGAATTGCCTTGTATTGAATCCTGAGAGGTTTATGGATGCCTAGAAAAACATATAACTTGAAATTTCAGTGTAGTTTTGAAATTTGTTAGTTCTGTTTTGATTGCAAAAGATTTTTTGTTGTTTCCCATATCAGTAACACATGAGCCTGGATTTTCTCCAGTGGATGAAAAGCTGAAAGGTTTGGAAATTTCAGAACAAAACACCCTTAGAATGCAGTATCATTACATAGTGTGTCTCAGCAAGGGAAGAGTATTTCTTAGCAATAAATACATCCAGTCTCTGTGTTTACTTTAAAATCAATTGAAATGTTTAAAAATTTTTTACTTTACAGTGATGTTCAACAAAATAACAACTCTAATCCACAGTAATGTCTGTGTCTGAGTTCTTCTCTGTAGGAAAAACATAGCACATGTGTGACTGGATACTTTCTTTTGGGGATTTTATCAGTGGAGAGTGTGGGGGGCAGCTGGAATGTTTTCCTGACTCTCATGAATTTCTCTGCTAGGTTGTTATAATTCAGAGATCCTTTTTCCAATTCATTGCAAAACTGGTTTTAAAAAATATGTTAGCCTTGTTCCCAGCCCACAATTAACAATTTTGAGGTCAAAACTGTTTTAAGGATTTTAGACTGAGGGCCAGAACTAACCTATAATAGAGGTTCTTTCATAGTCTTAAATATAGAATAGCTACTTACTGCCCACCAAAATTTCAGGCTACTCAGTCCAGCTCTTTCCAATATCCACAACTCATTCTTTGTTTTCTTTTCTGCCTGCTGAAACTTGGGAATCAACTTACCTGCTTTTGCTGGGAAGACTTTTCCTTTCTTCACTTATTTAGTTCAGGAATCACACTTTTCCTCAGGATGGATGTACATAAAGGTCTTAAGAGTGCCTTTTTGTCTACCTCCATAGAGGAGTAGTCCACAGCTTCCCTTGGCTTTGGAGAAATAGTTTCAAGAAGTTTCTTGCAGCCTTTCTTATCAATGGTCCTGATGACTCCAAGATATGTCTGCCTTTGTGCACACAGCTCAATTCCCAGTAACCATCTCATTAACAGTGACTGCAGAGAGTTAGATGGAGCAGGGTTCAAGCTTCTACATTTGTTTTTGGGTTTTTTTCATAAAAAAGATGAGAAAACATAATATAGGTTTGGGCAGTAATTCAGTCTTGTGTTGCAGTTGATCTGTGAAGCCTTGAAGACCCAAACCAGGCTACGTTTTTTGTGTTGCAACATTATCTTCTGAATATGTGTTGAGGATCAGGGTGGTACTTTTTCTAAAATGAAAGTTTCAATTAAACTCTTAAATAAGGCACTATAAATTTAGTTTCTAGAAAGGCCTTCAGATATAAAGTATGCTACATCTTCCTAGGACAGTTCTTGTAACATGATGCTAATCTGGTGTTTGGTAATGCACACAGGTCCTCCAGACACAACTGGACACCTTACTTGAAGGACAAGAAAGCATTAAAAGTTGCAGCAACTTTACAGCCCAAGCCCTCAACCATGGCACTGAAACCGAAGTGCTGCTGGTGAAGAAGCAGATGAGTGACAAGCTGAATGAACTGGCTGAGCGAGACTTCCCATTGCAGCCCCGTGAAAATGATCAGTTGGACTTCATAGTGGAAACAGAAGGCCTGAAGAAGTCCATTCACAATCTGGGTACGATTTTAACCACCAATGCTGTTGCCTCTGAAACAGTTGCCACAGGTGAGGGACTGAGGCAGACAGTGATTGGACAGCCCATGTCTGTTACCATCACAACTAAGGACAAAGATGGGGAGCTCTGTAAATCTGGGAATGCTTACCTCACTGCTGAACTGAGCACACCGGATGGGAGTGTAGCGGATGGAGAAATACTTGACAACAAAAATGGCACTTACGAATTTTTGTATACTGTTCAGAAAGAAGGGGACTTCACTTTGTCACTGAGACTTTATGATCAACATATCAAGGGCAGCCCCTTCAAACTTAAAGTGGTCAGATCAGCAGATGTGTCCCCTACCACTGAAGGGGTTAAGAGGCGTGTTAAATCTCCTGGCAGTGGTCATGTGAAGCAGAAAGCTGTGAAAAGACCTGCGAGCATGTACAGCACTGGCAAAAGAAAAGAGAATCCCATTGAAGATGATTTGATCTTCAGAGTAGGTAGGTGACTTGGCTGACTGTTGACGTACTTAAAAGTGCTTCAGGGAAACTGGCTGAAAAAGTTAAATTATTGTAAGGTTAATGCTGTAAGTAGAGCAACCTGATAATGCCTTTAGGCCTCTTGACTTTTGTTCATATGTAAATTTTGAAAGCACACACTTCAGAAATTCTGTTTGCAGCAAATATTTAATTGGGATTTGGGATTTGGGATATTTTAACAACTGTTAATATTCTTATTACAAAGCTTTTGGTATGGGTTAAATTAATTTCAGCTTGTAATTTATGCTTCTGTATCCCTAATGAGCAGTTTCTAGCCTGACTACCAAATAGTGGTTCTGGTTTGGCTTTTGTTGTTTGCTTGATTTTTTTTTTAACTGTTCTCTCCAATACACCATAAACTCTAGAAGTCTTAAATGGTTTCCAAAAAGCACAGTATCCTTTCTTTCTGTTGTGATGCAGTCATGACCGTGTGCTTTATTTTTGAGTTCTATCTCCTCTCCTTCTTTGCCCCTCAAAAGAGGAAGATGAAATAATTAGAATAAGAGCTATGCATGTCTCAGAGCTTCTCCTTGATGCTCAGAGTGTCCATATTTGGGGTATATGGATCAGTATTTTATTGGAAAACTGAGAATAATATTTCATCTTATTAGATGTTCAATTTTCAGCCACTCATTTCACAGAATGACCCTACACAGAGATGTCCCTCTGGGCTTCTGTGGGCTTAAGTATGCATCTTCTGAAAAGTCTCTTAAGCCATTGCAGTTGTAATGCTCTAGGGTTTTACACTCTTCCAAATTATGCAAAATTTTTGAGACAGGTAAAGCTTCTGACATTTTCACAAGGATTGTCTTCATGGATTTAAGAGCTTACCTCAAAAATTTAAGGTTAGGTTGATTTGGTGATGAGGTTATGTAAAATGAAGTTTACCACCATTTTCCAACACAACTGTGTGTCTCTATTTTGAATCCATTGTTTAATTCCCCTGGTGGTTCTGGCCAAGTGGATCAAATGGGCAAGATAAATCTTATACTTGGGCTGCCAGAAACTCATACAGCTGTGTTGGAGAACCACACTGGGCATCCATGTATATGGACTAGGCTATTGTATATATGCTGATGTATGGGCTTTTTTCACAAGTAAATTGATCAGCTCCTAGCAGGAGACTAGCAGGAGACTGTTCTCCTGCTAGTATTAACAAGATAGCATTAATACAGCATTAGCACATTTCGTTCATGGGGAAGTATGCATTGTATCTTCTGCCAATTCTGTGTTATTCTTGTCTTTTAAAATGGCACGTGGTCCTCTTTAGACATTTTAAGGTCAAGCTACTGACTGCACATTCACTGATTTGTGTAATTCATTATTTGTAAGAGCAGAGTATCCTCTTTTTTTTTTCTCAATAATTTATATCATCAACCTATTTTTTAAACAGGCATGATGTCTGTGTGTCCATGCAATATCTGTGTGGCATGTACTTAGTTTATACAAAGGAAAACAAGAATGTTCTTATGATACCTACAAAATAATTGTTGTTAATGGTTTTGCTACCTCTTCAAGTGGTAGGAAGCACTAAAGTGAGACGGAAGTCTCTTTTTCATTACTCTGCTTTTGTGCCTTACACCCATGCTGAGCAGAGATGGGGGATGGTCAGTGTCAGCCACTTCCACTTTCGCTTCTGTATCTCTCCCATGTCCTCCAGAGAAGGCTTAAGAGACGTAGGTGGCATCAGTTAGCTGCCCAGGATCATGTCTTGTGTTCTAGCTCTGCCATGCTGTGCCGTGTGCCTTGGTAGTTTTTCCTCTTGTGGCACTTTTCATGACTGGGTTCTTTGACACCATTTAGCAGTAGTGGTGCTATTTCTCACTTTAACTGCTTTCTGCACCTTCATTTATTTATATTTGGGATTGGCATCTGATACAGCCAGATGGAGAGTTTGCACTCTGAGAGGAAGTTCAGTTTTCCTGTTCCTCAGACTGTTTAGTTGTCTGTTCAGTCATATAACTGAGCATCTAAGTTTAGCTGGTACATTTAATGTGTTAAAAAAAAGAAGTGCCTTTAACAGTACCTTCTGTCATCCTCCTTACTAGGCATGAATGTCTTGTCTGTTATCAATGCTGAGAGCAAATAGGAGCCTTACTGCAAATTTACTCCACATAAAAACTCATGAAAAAAGTATATGCAACTTTAGTGCAGTTTACAAAGCAGGCTTGGGGGGAAAAGCAATTTTTGATGAGGTGTTTCACAGAATCACAGAATGGGTAATGTTGGAAGGAACCACAGTGATCATCTGGTCCAACCTCCCTGCTCAGGCAGGGTTGTCCTAGAGCACATGGCCCAGGATTGTGTCCAGATAGTTCTTGAATATCTCCAGTAAGGGAGAATCCACAGCCTCGCTAGGCAGCCTGTTCTAGTGCACTGTCACCTGCACAGTAAAGAAATTCTTCCTCATGTTCAGGTGGAACTTCTTGTACATCAGTTTCTGCCCATTGCCCCGTGTCCTATTGCTTGGCACTACTGAGAAGAGCCTGGCTCCATCATCCTGGCACCCTCCCTTCAGATATTTGTATACTCTCATGATCTCCCCTCTCAGTCTTTGCTTCTCAAGGCTGAACAAGCCCAGCTCCCTCAGCCTTTCCTTGTAAGTGAGGTGCTCCAGTCCCTTAATCATCGTTGTCACCCTCCACTGGACCTGCCTCAGGAGCTCCATGTCTCTCTTGTACTGAGGAGCTCAGAACTGAACAGAGCACTCCAGATATGGCCTCACCAGAGCTGAGTAGAGGGGCAGGACCATGTCCCTTGACCTGCTGGCAATGCTCTTCTAGTGCATCCCAGGATTCTGTTGGTCTTCTTGGCCTCAAAGCCACGCTGTTGGCTCATGGACAGCTTGTTGTCCAGCAGGACCACCAGGTCCTTCTCCACAGAGCTGCTTTCCAGCAGGTCAGCCCCTAGCCTGCTCTGGTGCATGGGGTTCTTCTTCCCCACGTGCAGGACCTTGCACTTGCCTTTGTTGAATTTCAGATGGTTCCCCTCTGGCCATCCCTTCAACCTGTTGAGGTCCTTCAGGAGGGCTGCACAGCACTCTGGGATATCAGTCACTCCTCCCAGGTTTGTGTCATCAGCAAAGTTGCTGAGGGAGCACTCCATCCCTTCATCCAAGTCACCGATGAGTAAGTTAATACCTGGAGGACACTGCTAGTTGCAGTCCTCCAACTAGACTCTGTGTCACTGAACATGACACATTTCTTCTTTAATTGTCTCAGAAGGCCTCTGTCTGAAACTTCGTATTGGATTGTTCAGTTTGAAAGGAATATGGCTGCCTGTAGGTATATACTTGTTGAGCTTTTCCAAAGATACAAGTGGGTACAGATAGAGGTACACATCTCCTTGAAAAAAACATATTTTTCCAACTGAATTTAGCCCCCTGAACCTTCTCCCTGTAACAAGCAGCATCTGCTTCCTCCTATTCCCCCATCCCTTCTCTACTTTTCCAACAAGTTCCTGTCCTGGCCAGATCACAGCCTGGCTAGGGGCATTGAAGAAGAAAGGAATGTGCATGTGGAGCTGTTCCGTGTAGTACAGCAATATGATACATGAAATGCTGTGGCCTCTTGGACACACATTAATCAGTTGCTCTTCATTCTCTGTTTCAGAACCCTGGAACAAACCCATTAATAAGCACTATGAAATAGCAAGATGTTTTCTATACATAATTTGTATTTCTTTACAAATAGGAATGCGAAAATAGAATTTTCTTTTCCAGTTTATTAGCTCAAGTCCCTCTGATACTTGTCATTAGCTCTTTATGGGTTTATGACAGCCAGTGTGAAATTTGGCTAGGCCTACATTGTATTGAATTGCAGTCATACCTGTATGGGGCAGGGGGTGAAGAACTCTGACGTCACACTGCTGGCAAAATCCCCAGCATGGGTGTGATGTCCTGACGTCAGAGACGTGGCCTGGATTCAACTCTTGTTATTTGCAGTTTGGCTGCTGTACCAGCAAAGAACTGGTTCTGAGGTGCACCTACCTCTAGGTTTGTGCATACCTATCTGTGGTAAAAGAGGCTCTGCTGCAGAAGCAAGACTTGGAGGTGATTTTGGCCAAGCTTTTAGGGAGAAATGCTGTGTAAAGCAAATTAATACAAATCAGTCCATCTTCACTACCAACAGCATGTGGACATATCTGTCAGTTCCTATTGAATTATTCATACCTCTTTAAAGGCTACAAGCATTGTGTGCCATCATCCAACAGACTGACTGATTTTAAAACTTAGAGTTACTTGGGAATTTGGATTAGATACACTGACATTTCTTTTACAATAAGCACATAGCTTGTTAACAATTTGGTTCAGTTTTAGTACAGAGCCTTTTGTGTTTCAGCTGTATCTCTTATGGGAGGGGGCATCACATCCTCACAGTATGTAAGATTTGACTAATTATCTTTTGGTGCTCTGAGGGAAAAAAGAAAGCTAGGGGACAAGAAGACAATTCCTTTGTAAGATATATGCAGACCTTTTCATGCTGTTTAGTTTTATCCTTTTTTTTCAGTACCACGTAGGGAAGAATCCAAGAGGAAGTATTTGAAGTGTTGTAGGCAGGAAAGAAATGGTACCTACACAACAGGTTATGGCCACTCACAATCTCTAAAGTCTTCCCAGTAATCTGTAGTCTTTCTGCATTTTTTTTTTTGTCGGTCTGAATCTATTCCCTTCCTGCTGGAGGCAGTTACATGTTTCTTCTTTGTATTTTAGGTAGCTGGGGAATCTAGGTTAGCAAGCAGCGAGGTTATTATTCATATTAGTAAAACTCAGAAAGCAAAACACAGTCCTTCTCTTACTATAAGCAACATAAATATACATTGTACAACAAATTTGTTCAGATGTTCAGCGCTTACAGAGCAGATTCTTATTGCAGTTACATGATGCAGTTTTTAGCATCTCCTGTGACGTTAATGGGCTTTTAGATTATTATAATTATTTTATTTTTGGTGGGATTCAATATGGCCTCTATTGTGCAAGAATAAAGGATTGAAATTATGAATCATTTTATGTGTGCCAGATTGTCTTGAGCAGAAAATGGATGCTTTTTTTTTTGTTGAAAGCTAAATGAATTGGTATGTGAAGGCTATGCTCACTAATACCAGAAGGAATTAGATAGGTCTAAGGCAAATCTGTATACAAAAATGCTATAAAAAGAGCTATTCCACAGGCCACAGACCTGCTTCCTAATAACTCTGTTCAGCCTTCCCCTTTTGAAAACTCTGCTGTCATCTCCCAGTCCCCAGCACCTTGCCACAGAAGCTGCAGTAAAATGTCTGTCTTTTCCTCCTTCTTCCTGCAATGGCTCAGAACAGGAGGGAAATAAGGCTGGGAAGAGATGGGCACAAAATATGCAAGCTTTCATCTCTGAACCAGGCTGCTTGGGAAACCCTGGAATGAGGATTCCACTGGTTCCAGCCCTGTGCAATTGAAATGTTGTTGCCTTCCTAGGCTAAAGAGAGGTGGGTGACAGCCCATGACAGAGAAAAGCCAAAGCATGGGATGCCATAATACAGATGGCTAGTGTCTTCCAGTAAAGGATTGCTGAAGACCCTCTCTTAGGCAGGCATGTTTATAAAGAAAGAATTTCTGCTTACAGAGGGGACCTATCATCCTTTGGTATTGCAGAGTCAGTTGCAGAGAAGCCTGTTATTCCAGAGGCTGACATACTTTACTGCAAGCTTTCCTCTCATTATCCAAAGTGCCTATGCTTGGCTTCAGATCTTTGCAGGCATAGTGAATTATTCAAAACAGAAAGCACAAAGTTATCTGTTTTCCTCTTGAACGTACATTAGAAAACCAGCTGTGTTTCATTAACCTCAGCTTTCTTCAGCAGAGAAATTTGTGCCACTGCAGAGGGGACTGTGTTAAGGCCTGTGTGCAAATTAGGACCTATATGATGGGTTTAATAGCTGCAAAGTACTAGGTAGAAGGACATTGCATGGAGATGAATTTATGCTGCATGCTGTGCTAATAAATTGCTATTTCTTAAAATTACTGTGAAACGAGACTGTGGTATTCCTGGATAATTTCTTCTTTTTTCCCTTTGATGTATGTTTATAAGGCCCCACTGAAGAACACTCTGAGTAAATCTTTATATAGGTCTCTCTTATCTTTACAAATGAAATTCCTTGACTTTCAAGAACATTTTTCGAAGGCCAAAAAGCATACATTCCATAAAGTTTGTGCTAGTTGGTTCCAGATGCTCTAGCTTACGCCTCCTCTTTTCTAACAAATGCTTTCCCTTTACTCTCAGTAGTAAAAGGAATGTTTCTCCCTTTTCATCCATTCTTTTTGGCTGAAAGGCAAAAAGGAAACATCATTTGCATATGGTGGAAAAAAAATTACTGCATGCATCCCTCAGGCACTGCTCATTAAAAGAATACACAGAAATGCTCACGTATGGTAATGTAATTGGTATGTAATTCACTATTCCCTGAATATGTACTTTCCTCTCGCAGTACAAAAAGTGAGAAGCATTTACCATGTTTAGAGGATGGAGCAGATGGAGTCGAAGAAAATAAGTCTTGAAACAAAGTAATATTCTTGCAGCACTGAGTGGGGAGGAATTAAATGTAACTTGTTAGCCAGTGACAGGAAATATGCATCCCACAGCCATCAGCACAGCAGAAGGAAGGGCTGTCATGAGCATACACATCCCCAGTGAAAGCTAAATACAAATTAGAGATAATATGTATGTCTTATATTGGACATCACAGTCAGAACAGTTTTAATCACTGAGCTCCAGATATTTTGGACTGACTGAAGTAAAATACAACTTTTTCAGTTAAAACTTTATATTGAAGCCAGTTAATGTCTGATACACAGCCAGTGAACGCTTGTAAAGATATTTCACCAGGAAAACTAGCGCTGCATCCAAGTCTTGGAATGAACAGCTTATAGAGTTTTTTGTTTGGTATTTTTGTTTCAAAATTCATTCATTCACTATGAATAACTTTGGAGTTCAAGATCATAACTGCAGTCTATTCTAAAGACCCCTGAACCTTCTTTACAAGCAAACCAGGAATTTGGATATCATTCCTGTGCTCCAGGTGTAATTTGGACCAGCCACTTTGAGGCTGATTTTGTAGAGACATCAGATTTTGCTCTGTGATGCTCTTTGGAACATCTCAGAACCAACACCTAAACAATAAGACACCTACACTTAACGAACTTTTGTGAAAAGTTGACATTTTGCAACTCCTTATCCCCTTAAGACACTGGGGAAAAGACTTTCAGTTCTATGTAAATCACTGTTGCATTTGTCCTGGGTTAAAAATGAGACCTCTGTGTATGGATACTGCTTTATTTGAACAACCTGAAGTCGTTGTAGTAGCATTCAGTCTCCAGGTGTTGGTCTTCATTGGCCACATGTCCCAGTCATTCAAAGCTAGTTCTTCATCTGAATTTCTCTTCTAAGGGATTTTTGAAAGCCTGACTGAAAACTGTATATGAGTAAATAGGAAAATTCCCTGTCTTGAAATGCCCCCATCCAAAGTAATATGGTTTATCTCAACTTTGTGACTTCACTAAGGAGACTCAGATAATTGTATTAAAACTGCGTAATCTAATTTCTTATCTTAGCCTCTGTCTATATGTTCCCAGAGTACTGCCCCTTTAATTGCCTTCTCAGTTGAATAAAAATTCTCATTTAAAAAAAGTCAATCTCTTATGAAAAAATCTTTTACTAGTTCTTTCACACAAGAGGCAATTTGTGAACACTGATTTATGAGGGCCAAAGAGGTAATTGCGTTGATGGGGGCTTAGATGGCATTCATGCTGAAGACTAAGAACAATCCCTTCTTGTAGGCAGAATTGTGAATCTGTTACTGACACGGTTCTTTGAAGGTGTAGCAGTGATAAGAACTCTTCAAAATAGAAATCCTTAGATCAGGAATGTAATAATTGCATGTGTTGGCATTTAGGTCCTAACTGATTAGTCTTGTCTAACCTGATTTCTTATGTTCTTTGTGTTCCATTTTAGGCACCAAAGGAAGAAACAAAGGGGAATTTACAAATCTTCAAGGTGTAGCTGCATCTACAAATGGAAAAATATTAATAGCAGACAGTAACAACCAGTGTGTGCAGGTATGAGGTTATGCCACTTTCAGTGTTTTTTCCTTTTCTCCCTGCCCCCACACCTCTGCCTTTTTTGTAGTCCCAGAAAGACACATTTTGTACAATTCAAGCAGATATAGAAAATACAAAGGAAGTTCAACTTGTTTATCATCCATCTTTTTGACCTGCAGCTATCTTTTTCAGATCTATGCTATATCTAGTATGTATGTTAGAATTTATTTCCCTTCCTTATGATGTTTGGCAGTGAATGAACAAACAAGCAGTGCAATAATCTGGAAAAATGCCTTTTTGTAAATATAATTTTACATTGTAAGTTTTATCACTCCCATGTTTTCCAGCATAGATCTAGGGCAAGGTGCCACAAATACAATTTCTTAAGGAAATAAAAAATTAAACATGTATATGTCATTTTTCAAGCGGCCTTTAGTCTCCTTAATTGACTTTTCTGTCTGATATCATGGTCAGCTATTTTCTATGGTAGCACCCCTGACACCCATAATTTCTTGGCTTCTCTAACCTATGTGAAAATCAAGCTGTGTTTTTTCTTTTGCTTGCCATGTATCTTTTTTACCCTTAACAATTTGTCATCACTCTTCAGGCTGCCCATGTGGTAGCAATGAACACGGCAGCAGTGTGTGGCTTGTTCTTCAGAATGTGAGAACCAGCAAGCCACATGCCGTAAGAACTCATTTCCAGGACTTCTCAAAGAGACAGAGTCAAATATACATCAGCACCCTCATACTTAGTAATTTGCAGCCAGTTTAGAGGAACTTCAGTGTCTAATTACCTGGCTTTGGGACACAACCATTGGATTATTCCTATGTTTTTTACAGACTTAGTGTTTGACTGTGGCCGAGTCACTTAGTGCCTCAGTTTCCTCATTTCTAATATGGGAATAATACCACTTCCTCCCAACTGAGAGAGACATCGTGAAGCTTAATTCACTAATATTTGTAAAGTACTTTGAGCTCACTGAAGAAACAGTGCAATGTAAGTGAGAATTTCTTTATTTTGCAATTAGGGTCCAGGTGGATGCCTCTTTGTAAATTAGGCATACTACTTTCAAATATGGACTGTAGAAGTGCTTCGTGTTCCCTGCTCCCTTCCTGACTAGAGTGTTCATTAGTGACTTGCTAAAATCTAAGCTCCAGGAAATAGGTAATGGTAACATATAGATTTAATTTTTAAATTTATGTTTTCTGTTCCAGATATTTTCCAATGATGGTCAGTTCAAAAGCCGTTTTGGCATACGAGGAAGGTCTCCTGGCCAGCTGCAGCGGCCAACAGGGGTGGCTGTACATCCCAGTGGTGACATCATTATTGCAGACTATGATAACAAATGGGTTAGCATATTCTCATCAGATGGAAAATTTAAGGTATAAGTTACCATGTGAACTCTCTTGAGCTTTCTCTGTCTTGCAAAGGAATGCAAAGTAACATTGTTTTTCAAGAAACTGCATAGTTTGGTTTTAATTTAGTTTGAATTCCATTGTTGTGATGTGAAAACCCATCACCCAGCTACATTGTATAATTAATAGGAAGAGATAACACGTACGATGCTAATGTTACACCAAGGAGAGACAGTATGTTCCATTTTACAGGTCTGCATACTAGGTGCTTGGATGCCTTTCTATAATTGTAGTCAAGGATAGCTAATGCCATTAAGTCTAGATGGACTACCTCAACAACCTTCATATCATTAGTACTCTGATTATACAGGTATGTATATACACATAAGCAAACACAAAAATCTTATGAGGAGGACATGAATCTCTTCAGTAACATATGAAGAAGAAAAAGAAGGTAGCAGATTGATGATGACTTCCTCTATCTACTCCATACTTATCAGCAAATAAAGTGTATTACCTGTTGGTAATAAAAGCAAGGAAGGGCAACCCAGGATGTTGTTCCAGTGCTACAGCATTGACAGGAGTGGTTTAGGTGGTGTGATGTGCACTGGAAAAACTGAAAGACAGTAGTAATATCTTAGGCTTCAGAAATCAGAAATTCTGAGGAAGGCACACCTCATACCTCTTATTTTCATAACAACTCTGATCCCTTTAATGGGAGTAAAATAACGTAGCAGGTACTACGCTACATTGATGATTGCCACCCTGGAATATTTTTTTTGCTTGGGTTCAGGTGCAATTCCAGAGAGAATTAAAGGTTGCCTCCATTTTGGTGCTGTTCTTTGAATGCATGTTACGAGGTCTGGTGATACATGCTAGAAAGAGCCACCTGCAGCAGAGGTTAGCAGTACTCACTGGTCATTGGGATAATGGATCTACAGGAGAATTTCTACCATAGGTACTTAGTTCTAGAGTCCTGCATTGGAGAGAAATGGCCTGTTTGGCTAATTTTCTGGCAGCCTAATGAGCAAAAAGGTGAGGTCCTGAGCTGCTCATGTATGCACCAAGAAATGGCCTTCCTTTGAATAGTGTTTGCAAAGTGACAAATGCTATACCAAATAGGTATTGTGCTTACACAGTCCTCAGTGACCTTCATCTGTGCTTTTAAAAGTATCCAGATCATGTATAGACTTGAAGCTAAAATAAAATAATACTAATATGCAACACAAGTGCTAAAAACCCCCAAAATACTTGCATTTACAGAGAGTATGTGATTTTCTTTGTCGAGTAATTTTGAAAATGTACAGCTACCCAGGAAAACCGTGGGTTTGGCTGAAGTCCTTGAATGAAATGAAAACATCAAAACAAACCCAAAGAAAGATGTCATTTACTTAAGAATCCAAATTCTCTAAGTTTTGTGTGTTTTAAATAATTATTAACATCTTTAATGTGAACTGGCTTGATCTGGATACAGAGAATGAAGGGCTTGTTTTCCTTCCTTCTCAAGATATGCTGTAAATCCTGCATTTTGGATGCTGCCAGTTCTGGAGGAAAAAACTCTGGAGAAGCCAGGACCCTATGTGCGATACAATATCAGCAAGCAGGAAGAAATTGTTAATGTAGTTCCTCTGATGTGGAGCCTAGCTTGGTTTTTAGTCAATGTTTTTGTTGGATTATAAAAGCTACATAATGTTGGCAAAGTTTGTGTGGATAATACAAGTTAATGCATTGGACTTCATAGTTTTTGGGACTAGACTGATTAAATGAGAGATGAAACATCAAGGATATAAACCACAATTTTTAGATTAAATGTAATAAGATAGTTCCTCTGATGTGGAGCCTAGCTTGGTTTTTAGTCAATGTTTTTGTTGGATTATAAAAGCTACATAATGTTGGCAAAGTTTGTGTGGATAATACAAGTTAATGCATTGGACTTCATAGTTTTTGGGACTAGACTGATTAAATGAGAGATGAAACATCAAGGATATAAACCACAATTTTTAGATTAAATGTAATAAGATACACTTATGAGACAAAAAATAAATGTTCGTAGAAGTATATTGCAATATGGAGGATAGGCATAATCACATAGGTGTGGGAGCTGGGCATGGGACAGGTGGCAGAGCATGTGTGTGGGGAGTGCAGGAGTGGGGTGGGGTGAGCACAGGGATGGTCACCGGGAGCAGAGCCACACTCTGAAGAGCTGTACTGGGAGGAGGGGGTCCTGTATTGGTGCAGTACTAGTCGAGGGACATCCTATACTGGGCACTGTGGAGTTCATGAGCTGTGCTAGGGAGGAGAGGTGCAGGTGAGGTGAGCATGGAGCCTGGGGGAACCATGGGTGGGGACACAGAGGCTTGGGAGGTCATGCCCACCAAGGCTGTGAGACGTAGGACGGTCAGTGCCATGGAGGGATGGGGCTTGTATGATGGTACAGGGCCAGGAGTTGGACTTAATGATCATTGCAGGTCCCTTCCACCTTGGGATATCCAATGATAGGGTTAAATAAAATACAGTTGAAGCATAGGACATAGATATAACAGATCTAGCCTGTGGGAATCTAGGCAAAGCCTTGTAATTTCTTGTGTGTTGGCAATGGTAATTCTTACAGGGCTTTGTCAGATTAAATTGGGCAACGCTTGCTAAGATAACACAGAGAAAGAAAGGGATAATGGCATTTCCCTTCAAAGGACTGTGCCTGCAAGTCATTGTATAAGATCTTTGATGCAGGTGGCCTGCTAGTTGTTAACTCAGCATTATCAAGGGGCTGTTTTGAACTTAATCTATTTTTCATGTTGTCCCCTTTCTTATGCATTTACTTACACTTCCTCTCTCTTTGCAGCATTTTGAGCCAGAAGGTAAATTTCCCTAGAGCCAGACCCAGGCTGATTACAGCACTGGACTGTCAGGCAGAAAAGTGTCACCTTCCTCAGTTGCTGGTAGCAGCAGAGACAGAGCTCGGTTTTGTCAAGGCTGTAAAACTCACATAATGTAGAGGTGGACAAACTCTAATCTAAGGCTGCATCAAAACACAAGTCTCTTAAAATGAAAAGCTGTATTATCCTCTGATAAACCCTCAGACTGGGTCTTAGGATTTGGGGCTTCTGTTTCTGGCTATGCCATAGATCTCACAGGTGACCAGTGATCTTCTATTTCACTTCCCAGTGCTTTATTTTACATATCTATAAAAGGCAGTGCTGCTTCCTCTGTCAAGTACTCTGAAATTGCTTAAGACAACTGTTACAGCAGACATATTGCTTGGCTAAGGAGAGAGCACGTGGTGAAGCAGCAGTGCCAGCTTCTCACCACTGTGGCGTTCAAGCCTAGTGAAGCAACTGGACAACAGAGTCAAGAGAATGACTCCCGGTCCTCTGAGAAGAGAATTACTTTCTTTCTAGTCTTGAAGAGTTGTATATAAGATAGTTTGTTACTAGCCAAACAGGGCTGCAAGTTAAGATCAAGTTCAGATGAGTGGGAAAAGATGAAAGGAAATATTTTATCTGTAAGACTCTTTTTTTTTCTTGTCTCATTAGAAGAATTAAGGAAAGAGCTGTTTGAAGCTGGTTGTGTGTTCAGATGGGAATAGGTAGTGTGGTTAAATGATCACAGTTGAAATAAGATGCTCACATGAATGATAAATCTATTTATTGTGTGATATTGCGATGTGTGACAAAGCTGTATCTCCTTATTAAGGAAGTTCTCAAACAGGAAAAGAAGGTGTGTTTAAAGTCTGTAATTAATTCCTAACAATCCTGAACCTTTCAGACAGCAACAAGATTGGTAGAGTTAAAGCCCTAACACACTTACTTCTACAGTGGAAATTTTTATACAGGCTAGCTGATTTTTTTACCTCTAGGAATATCCCACCATAGAATATTTTACAGCCTGGTAGGGTGGCTTTATAAACACATATTTGAAAAACAGTCTAAATTCCTAAGAGTCTATAAAATAAGGGACATAATGTCTTTGACTGAATTCAATTAAACACATTATTTGTATTTAGGGTTCACATGATTCATTATACTGTATTCATTTCTAATGGCAGAAAAGTCTGAAAATACTTCCATTCATATACTTAACAAGAGTGACTTGTTTTCATAATATTCTGTTCTAAATAATAAAGCCTATAATTCTAAGAAACCTCCTGAAATAAAAATATGCAAAGAATATGTTCAACCAGACCCAGTAATGTGTCATCAGCATATTTTGGTCTAAACTGGAAACAGAGATTTTCAGCAAAAAGCACTGCAAACTCTAGCTGGGCATACTTTATTGCTGCCTGCAAATTAGATTTTAAATTCTGGCCCAAGAAAAATGATTTTTATTACTCTTCTCAGCACTGAGTGCCCATTAATGTAGTATATGATTTATTCATTATATTTTTCCATATGTGTTTATATGGGCAGGAAGATGCTGTACTCATGAGTCTGAGTCATTTTTCCATAGGAATCCTGGAAAGATGGTAAGGAGGTGGTGCAATGCATAAGCAGACAAACACACAGGCATCCCAGAGGAAAGAAGGAAATATGATTTAAACACCCCAAAGGAAATATTCTGATTTGCATTTGATTTATGTTTTTGTTGTTTTGTTGTTATGCAAACATGAATACATTTTGTAGGTCTCCTCATATCTTTCCCCTGCTGAA